ATGGTGTGTGTAATATTTTGTTGATATATCGTACTGATAATGGAATATGGATAGGACACTGGTATTTGGATTGATTTAAGTCTAAATGGGAATATGAATTCTAAGATGTTGATGCATCCAATGGATATATGGTGAATTGAAGTAGGTAGTAACTTGTCAGTTATATTCGTTTCACTCGACTACTTTCAAGCATTCTTACCAGTTTTTATTTACTGATTGACACCTGTAATTTCCTGTTGTTTTACTGGATCGAATTCGTCAATCCCTGATGTTCGAATGCCTCGATATTCCTTGAAGATTCACTAAGTTGTAATTCACTTAGTGATGATGACCAAGTGAGGATGCTGAAGTCCCGGTGGAATGTCAGTGAAAGAATTTTTGCGTCCTGGATTCTACTGCTAGCAAGTTATTCTTAACAGTTGTTGAATTCAACAATAAGTGGCAGATTTAATGACTAGAAACATGCTTGTGGTACTGTAACCCATTGGGTAACAGATTCTAACAACATTCCACCTATTAAGGTTTGTACAGATGCAATAGGTGTGACTCATTGAATGTTTTACAAACGTGCACATGATTACTGGGTTGCATTTCGAGTGTTTCGCTAGATACACTGTACATCATCAGTGTAGTACGTGATATTAACTTGATTACATTGGATTTACTCTTTTACCATTACGTAATTTCTTGACATTACTAATTTCATTTCACTTTTATATAACACTCTGAATGTCTTGATAGTTTATTCTGCTTGAGAATTATGTTCGATAAGTGTTACACAGTTACTAAACCTGAAATCAGTTATACTTTTCGAACAAGTTTTTAAATATTGTATCACACTGGTTCGGTGTTATTTCACTTTAGAGTAACTCAGATAGAGTTTCAAATAGAGAAGTATGTTGGGCTTGGTTCCTTAATCGTTTTTATCATAAACTTATATCATTCTAGTTTTTAGTACAAATATGTCGATGATGGTCATATTAAATGGTAACTTGGTTGCCATAAGAATTTACTACCCTTCGCTTAGTCCTATACATTGTTTTTGTGTTCATATTATTGAAGCGTATTAAAATAGGCAAAACAGCTGTCCAGTAATTCTAGTTAACCTCAGTCTATAGTAAAAAAACGGCTTAGATATGATTTATTCAATGGTTTTATATGCATAGTCTTTAGTGTTTAGGTTGCTAAAAGAATTTTCATTTTGACTATTTGAGATAACCGTGGGCTGGCAGACTTGTAGTATTTATACTTCGTGATGATTGAAGGTGGGATGAAAACATGGACCACAGCCAGATTCGAACCAGGGACTGCTGGGTTTCCGACCCTTATGGTCTACCAACTAAGCTATGAGGTCCGACTGCTGATCAGATTTTTATTGAACTTCAAACACCAAGTTGGGTTTTGCCCGACTATCATGTGAATTAGTGATACGTTACTACCGCTTGATCGTTTTTACACTGACTGCCTGGTCAGGACTTCTCATCTAAATTCAAATGTAACTGAATTAGAGAGGTGGAGTATCATATTGATAATCAATATGATGCTCTTCCTGGTTAAGCAGTCGAGCCCCGTAGCTCAGTTGGTAGAGCTTCGGGCTTGAAACCCGGTGGTCACTGGTTCAAATCCCTCCACGGTCCAACTTTTCATTTCACCCTCAATCATCACCCAGTATAAAAAACTAGGAGAATTTGTCTAGCAGCATCTTGATTTTCTGTAATTGGCACTGTGACTCAGTGATCCAGTCATTTGATCACCAGAATGATGGGTCATTGATGAAAATTCAATTTCGATAGAACTACTTATTGGTATCATTCAGCCATATACAAGGGGATTTATAGCCATGCAAAAGAAGACTCGGTGTTCGAGTTTACTGTCGGCATTTAATAACAATAATGTACTGAAGAAACTGTACTATGCTATAGGTTCATTTGGATTTATCATAGAAACTCATTGGTTCACAGGTTAATATGCTCAACTGTGAAACGTACAGTACTATGTTTTCATATTTGCTTGTTTCAAAGTAGGCAGAAACATCTACCCTTTGCTCTATGAACTTCAGTTTCTGTTAGAACGTTAACAGACTGTAGTAAAAGTTACCAGAACTGTTCACAGTTAAAATCGATGATTGCTGAATATCACATTTTTATCTGACTCAGCAATTCTTTTGATTTATTCACCTTTTGGCTCCATGACCTATCTCTTATGATGATTTTCTTTAACATTCTACTTATGTCAGTATTAATACTTTCTATCGAAGGTAGTGAGATTAACAAGTAAATTGATACTTTTTAGTGATGTCCGACCGCTGAATAATAACAATTATTAAGAGTATTTTTCTTTCAAATATCGAGGTGTGAGATTGAAAGAGTGGGCAAGCTTACAACAAGTAGAGTGTAAACAAGATATTGTCTGGCTATTTATAAATTTATCATGTCTCCATATAATTTAAGCTTTGTTATGCTTCCAGTGGAGAAAAAAAACACTTTAGAGTTGTAATGTCTGCTATTAGGTAGGCGCATTTATGCGATTGTCTACCATGCCCCCCCCACACATATACACACACACACATTCGTTGATTGTTTGCCTTCTGGTTTGAACAACAGATGCTTGGAGCAGAGATTTTCATACAGCTCATATTTGACTATGGTTACCAATAATTTGGATGTCACTGAAATTAGGCCCTGCCTAATAAAGAGACATGATTGTGGGAAAATATTGCAGTCTGTTTTAATAAAGTGGTAGGTGGAGCATGCATATATATATATATATATATATATATATATATATATATATATATAATGGTTATAATGGTTATTTAGTTGACTTATGCATATTAAACACACGCAGATATACAAGTTTTCCTTTCCACATTCCTAATCTCCTCTATTTATATATGTTTTTCTGTTTACCTTTAAATTACTTTGATTACATGTATAGTAAAAATGATAATAATAATTATCAGGAAATATGATTAGGATAAAAAAGCGAATGTTGAAGTGTTTCATATGTTGTAAAGTAAGTCTGAAATAAGACGATGCCGACAAAAGTAAAGGCATAGAACAGCTACATGTTTTATCAGTAATATTTCGACTGGAGAAAAGTAATCAGGACAATATTTCCGCAGCCCATTTTGCTTATTTTATATATATATATATATATATATATATATATATATATATATATATATATATATATATATACCGGTATCTGGGGCTTGTAAATTGGTTTTTATATCAGAGAAAATGTATGTTGAGTCATAGCTGCAGAAAAACCCTGCGACTTGACTATACTTCGGTACTTGGTGCCACTCAGCTTTAATCTATTCAACACGAAATTCCCTAATTTAAAATATCGTTGCACTTATCTCTGTAACGCGTTCATTAACCTGAAACCAGTGTGATCTTCTGCACTCCGCTCAGCATAAAGCGTGAACAAGATCCGGATTTTCAGCACCAATGTCAAGTCATGGCTTCTATATGGTTCAGAGACTCGGCGCGTTACTCTGGCTCGTTACTGAAGCTCAGGTGGCCAGAATAATAAGCATAAGCAACAAGTAACTGGCTGGCTGGAAACGAACCAACGAAGCAAGAACCTATGGCTCAAGAAATATGCAGAAGGAAGTGGAGATGGATTAGACTGGGCATGCACTGAGAAGACCATTCGAGGACATCAAGCACCACACTAGGCCAGGCCGTGGAGTGGAACCCAGATGGGGAGCGATGAGTTGGGCGTCTGAGCTGAGGGTGACATGGAGGAGATGGTATGAGGAAGAAATGAGAGCTTGTGGGCAGTTGTGGTAGCAGGTTCGCAAGATTGCAGAGAAGAGAGTGTACTGGAGACGTGGTAGTGAAGTCGTACGTTCCACTAGAAACCGAAGGGACTAATAATAATAATAACTCTGTAACCCTTTTTACAAACGTTCATAATGATCAATTTACAAAATGATTTGTAAATTGTGTGGCTCACCTTGGCACTTCTCACCACTGAGTAGTTTTTCAGCTGCCCTACTATGATCTCTGTCAGTAGAGTTTCTGATGGAGATTATTCGTCAGCCAAGATCACAAGATGTGATCTTTGACACACAAAAGTGTCATGAACCAGCGAAAGATACTACTACTGAACAAATGGAGTAGTTAGAAAGCACTCAGGCTGATATGTGGATTTCATCAGGCTATCGGATCATATTTATCTAAACACCTGAACACTGTTTCGCTCGTTTGGGGGCAGAGTTCATCTTATAGCTGAATTATTCCAGATCATCTGAGTTTGGCTACCATATTTCGCTATTTCATAACACTTTTGTGTCAGAGATCACATTTTGTGATCTTAGCGAACGAGTAGTTTCCAACGGAAACCCTGTTGACTGGTACCACAGTTAGGCAGTTGAAAAACTACTCATTTGTGAGGGATGTCAATATAGACCGTGCAAATCAGCCATTCTGTTTTAGGTATTCCGGTGCATACAAGTCAGCTGGACAGATTCAAATGATCTTAAGTAAATCGGCTGTATAAGCTGAATTTGTCCGGCTACACCGCTGATTAACTTGTCTATAAAAGAACAAAACATTCGTTCAGTGTTTCTATCGTTCTGATCTTGTTGCCTGGGGAAATCTCCAGACCAACCTGAACGCTTTTTAACTACCTAAGTTGTTCAGTAGTAATATATTTCTATCACCAGAATTCGGTCAACATTGGAGACTTATCAGCAGAGCATATAGTCAGGAGAGCTGCTTCTGCGGCTGTATCTAGTCCAACATAGTGTGCCATCTGTACCCTGCCTAATACATTACCAACACATATCTTTGGAGCTGCATTATGCTGAATCAGGTTTAAGCAATGGGCAACAGTAGATACACCTTACTGTGACTGTCAGCAAGCGAGGTACCTCGACCCAGAGTTCTTAACTGACGACTTATAGCCACCTTTTTCTGAATTTGGTTATTTTATGAAATTATGCTGTAAATATCGCTCATCATTTGTGATATTTTTTTATTTTCTAGACGGTTTGTTGGCTTTTCAACTACTACAACATGGCTCTTCGGCTGGCTCAAATTTTCCCTCAATGAGTGGTTTAACACTGGCTCGACGTGGCCGTTCCGATACTTCTGGTGTTTTTGCTGTACATCCAATGGTAACACTGGGAGCAGACAACAAACTTGTTGGCGTAAATCTACCACCGAACTGTGCATTTACTCCTCAACTGAAAATAATTTGACCTGTTCACAAAATAATAATAGCAATAATGCATTTGGTTCCCATCCCCTACCACCACCGCCACCGGATCAACCATTACCCCCTTTACCGAACTTGCCATCAGATCATCATCAACATATAATTTCAAATGTCGGAAATCAGTTACCAGATCCCAACAATCCTAATAATCGTTTGTTAATCAATACATCGTTATCTCCTGTTTTCCCATATGCTGCTGCATCATCATTCGTCTCTCAAGCCTATCCAACTGAAAACGGTTTTATATTGTCTATAGGTATATATAAGCTTAGATTAGTTATATCATAGTTCATTTGGAGTCAGATATTTTGGATATATGTACTCTTCTAGTAATCGATAATCATAGATAAGCTTTCCTAGTATTCCATTGCCAGTGTAATTTTTATGTATTGTTGTTCAGTAGGCTGTATGTTCAAGTGTCATCGGGGATACCAACACAATGAAATGAAGACACAACCAGTTGATGAGTTGAAAAAGGATGAAGCACACATTATGGTCCCCACTGTTGGCTTATCCCAACACAATATCAAGCATGGAGCAGAAAAGATTATCTAGTTGTTCGTATATAAGTAGCTAGTATTCCGACATTAACTGATCATTCGAATTACACCATTGAGAAACAAAGGATTTCAAGCTGTTGCATTGTGAAGTAGTTATCCATTGTGAATCACTAGTCAACTAATTGATTTGAAGGTATTTAGGCGTAGACTTTCGCTATGATGTTTGACCAACTACTATTTTATTCCACTGATGTTGACCAGGCGAAAAACTGTCACTAAGGCAAAATCATGTCAGTTATTCACTGCATGGCATTACTTAGTGTTAAATCGCGTAGGGAATTTAGCTGAGACATGGCGTAACTTTTGATCTCAACTCAGTAATGCAGTGAATAACTTCAAGGACCACCCTAGCAACTACTAAGTTAATCAATCAGACTTCAGAATTTCGACTGAGTATGGTAGCTTTTCCCAGTATAGAGGAATTTCATTGGTTATCTCGGCAGTTGCTAGGGTGACCTTTAAAGTTGCTCCAATGTAATTGGTAATGTTTAGGCTAGCTGACGTTTCGTGATAATACCTTTGTATTCCCTTAATCATTAATATCTTGGAGAGAACATTTTGGTTAGAAGTGTTTATATACTGACTTCTAGAAGGATGGGACCATACTAGTTCGAAAATAAGTAGCAAGGTTTTAGACAAGTTACTTTTAATGCCGTTGAAATTCCATCTCATTTTATTCTAGCTTATCCTTCTTAAAAAATCAGACACTGAATAGGTATTGAGGCAAGAATTTTAATGAAAACAAAAGGCATGTACTGATCTATTGAAGATCTCGAATGATAAATAACTGAAATCACTTCTTCAAAAGTATTCTTGATTCTCATATATCGTCTACAGTTTCATGAGATATATTAGTTCAAGTTAATCTACCATATTTGTTGGCAATATAATTGATATTTCAAGTTGTTATTCATCGAAGACTGACATCAGTTGGAGGAACAAAGGAAACCTGGGAGCACTGGACAGCTGTTTCGTCCTAGTATGGGACTCCTCACCAGTGCGCACCCACGACCCCACCAGCAGGATCGAACCCGCGACCTTCAGGTTCCGCGACCAGCGCGTTACCATTGAGCTAGCCACTGGGTCAGAATCCAATGCTCCATATTTCCGTGGGTGCGCACTGCTGAGGAGTCCCATACTAGGACGAAACAGCTGTCCAGTGCTCCCAGGTTTCCTTTATTCCTCCAACTGATGTCAGTCTTCGATGATTAACAACTTGAAATATTTCCAAATCTCCACAACCCCCTCAAAATATAATTGCTGTTGTTTTGCAAGGAGTTAGCAAGTAGTAAGTCACAGTAATTGTAGAAGAATTTTTCAAACCTAATGTTATGCAACACTAGTACATGTTGTTGTTTTTTATCAATATCGATTGTTATCGTTTGTCTTATGTTTATTCTTTTGTAATTTTTTTTATATAGATAGTCCAATGCCAGAATATGCAAGCGCCTCACTTTTTAGTGGAACAGGAAGTGGAACAATAAGTTTAGGTCCAAATGATCTTAGAAATTCAATTATCTCCAAAACAACTATTGATAGTGATACTAGTAAATATAAACAACTAATGGAGACGTATTGTATTCCACAACATATGAATTCGTGTTTTTGGACACCGAACAATCATCATCATCAGTTCAATAATAATGGTATTCCTAATATATCGATTACTGCATCATCTGATACTAATAATACTCAAGGAAGCACACCTAATGAACAACTTTCAGAGAGTATGGATTCTAGTGGAATGTATTATTTAACACATAAAAAGCATACAGACAATAATAATAATAATAATAATAATAATAATAATAATAATCAAATCCCTTCAAATCATATTCATCAAAATCCTGTTTTTCTACCGTTTTCTACTAATCCCACAGCAACACACTTAATACCAATTCAAACAATTGGTCTACGACCTAGCATTTTAGTATCAAACAGAGATGATCAAACAGTTATTCATCAAACTTATCAACATGATAAAAATCAGTCAATCAATTTGTCGATAAATAATCATCATAATTATCAAGAGAAAAATTCTAAAGATGTGAACAATTTCATAGCTACACCGAATAGGTAAAAGAATCAGAAAACTATCCTTAACACATATGTCATCATGAAGAGAGAGAGACTATACTTTGCTCCTCAATCATTTTACACTTGGAGTTAACTTAAAAACTGTACTTTACTCTCTCTCTCTTTCTTGGATTCAGTTTTCAATGGTTTTGTTTGTTTATTTCTGTGAATAATTTCTTGTTGGTATATTTTATTCTCCCTGTGATGATTTACTTCTTACTATATATACATATATCCATGGATATATAAAAATTACAAAAGTCATGTGATGATTATGTAATTTCATCCTATTTGTGTTATTGCAGGGTTTTATTCAGTTTTCTAGAAATTTGTTTATCTCTATTTGTAGACAAACAATAGACTTGACTTGTTGGCAAACCCCCTTGTTAAGAGACCTTCTTTATGTTTTTTGTTTCTGTCCTTTATGTAAATCTTTAAAAAAGATTAAATTTTTTATTTATTTAACATGTTGGTCATCGGTCATAAGGTGAGAATAGTGACACTCATTGAAGTCATATTCTTAAAGTTGATTGGATGCATCAATGGAGATGATCTTCTTGAAATAACTTTTTTTTGTTGTTTATTACATTTTGTTATCCAGATACTTATTTATTATATCAGGTAAATAGTTATGCAACTGTTTATGTGTACAGCTTTTCTTATAAGATTGATTCATCGATCAAATTATAAACCTCTCTAACATGCTTATTGTTAATATTGTTGGGATCCTCATTTGGTAAGTTGTATGCATGATCAGTTTCTCAAAACTGCTGCTGAAGAAGGAGAAGAAGAAGCAGGAGGGATCAACGTTTATAAGGGAAGAGAGAGAGAGATGGATAAAGACGATAAACACTTTGTTTATTCTCTTACAATTTGCAACGAAATAAATGTATTAAAAATACTATATTACTAAGTTTATCTTTCATAACTGTTCTCAGAAAAAAGCTTTTATTCCTTATCTGCTGCTTACTTACATTGTACTCTTGTAGATCAATCTTATCTCAGTATTATTTCTAACAAACTATGAGCTGGTATACATTGTCTTTGGTATTAAGAGAGGATTGATGAATAAGATTGTCTACTGGTTTGTTTATTTTTCTTCTATCTACATTTACTTTTTCTTTAAAGTTCAATATAATACTCATAGTTGGATTATTCAAGGTGGTTATAAAAGGTTTTCTGTTAAGCTACATTTCTATGTTTGTTTTGTTTTATTCTTAAGTCTTTATAGTTTATTAAGGGGTTTTTATTTTCTGTTCTGTTTATTATTTATCCTTTTTGATATGAAATAATTTATAAACAGTGTTTCTTGTTTCTTTCTGCTTTGTTTTTTAACGTTAACTTTTTCGTTTAAGAAGAATTAACGTCGACCTATTGAGCGCCTTGATTTTGTTATACAATCTATATATATATATATATATATATATATATATATATATATATATATATATATATATATATATATATATATGAACATTTACACTCGTTGACAGATTTTTCTCCATGTATTTTACCATTACATTCTTTTTTTTTGTTGGTTCATTATTTCAGCTGTTTTATGCACAGTCAATGTGCAAGTGTATTGAAATATACAGAGACAGGTAATATCTCCTTGCTTGACAACACATCAAAAAAAAGGAGGTTGTTACAGTTACTTTATCAATCATATATTTGAGTAAAGGGATCAGTACTATGTTCTTGTACATTATTATTATTATTATTCAATAATAAAGAATAGCAGTCTACTTAATTTTCATGTTCTTTGAATTCGGCAAAACAAAAAGTGGAATATTACCTCTTTCTGGATCTCAGTCATGATAATTTCCTATTCTAATTCACAAGGAAGTTGTACATGTATTCATCTTTTAGAAGTTAAACCATTAGAAGAAGGTTTATATACTTGGGTATTTGTGTTAATGTTAATAGAGATGTAACTTATCCAACATTGGATTGTATATTCAAAGCCAGTCTGCATCACAATTTACGCCGTCTTGGTATTAAAAGTAACGTATAAACTGTGTTTATGTAGACAATTCTGCTCTATTGTGTAACAGATTTTCTTAATATTGAGTAATAAAGTGAATACAACTCAGAAAGTGGGAATGAGTTTAGAAACAAATCGAAAGACAAAATTTAAAAATGAAGAAGCAGATGATTCTGAGATCATGAAAATTTGTATTTACAAATTGACAAGATTAAAGTTACCACCGGGTTAAGGCAAGGTTGGTAACAGTATCTTTCTGAATACATAAATTAAGTTTGAGCCTTTTAATTGCAACTACTTTAGCAAAGCGCAAAATGTTGGTTTTCAGTTGATCATTAATCGCTTTGAACGATTTTGATACTTCAACATTATGTTCAGTATCAAGTAAATGTTGAACGATTGTGTTGTTTAAACTCTATGGATCTTTAAGACTTAAATTATTCGAGATATTTTCAGAAATGAGAAAAAGAACCCTCCTTCCTTTTCTTCCATTATATTTGATGTGAATTGGTAGATACAGTTGAAGGTAACAAGAGTTGGGAACTTGTACACTTTTGATTTTTCCAATGGGCAGTTAGTCTGGTACACGCAGACAATCTCGGCAGCTGGATAGGTCCTTTCAGGGCAGCACTCAGTCTGTGATTAATCCTTGTGATGATTGCATCCTCTCTAAAGGCAACAAATGGAAGGACAAACTGTCCTTAACTGTACTACACTTGATTCTCTACGTTTCTGTCCTACTGTACTCACCAATGGGATTTTGTAGGTAACCATTTTTCCGCAGTTAGTGTTTGACAAATCTCTATTCCTTCTCAATCTACTCTTTACGGGTGTGATTAAAAAGCGTTCTTAGCCGGCATTTTTTGTTATATATATATATATATATATATATATATATATATATATATATATATATATATATATATATATATATATATATATATATATATATATATATATATATATATATATATATATATAACCAACGTAGAAGATCACACACAGGTTCGTCTGTTCAAATTCAGATGTCTGCACAACACATTCAGAAGATACTGCATTTTGTCAGCGTCTTCACCCAGCAAGACAATATCATCTGTATATTCCAAGTCAACAAGATGACTTCCAAGGATTAGATCAACCCCTGTGAAGTTAAACGTACCTGAGTTTATAAGTATGTCTATAACGAAATTAAATGGGAACGGTGACAGTAGGCAGCCCTGGCGGACACAAGTGGTTGTTGTCAATTCTAATGACAACTATTCATAAACCCTTACGTGGCTGCGTGGATTCGAGTAGAGACCTCCGATAAGCATCATAAACTTGTGCGATATTCTCCTCACGGTTGGCATAGTCACCTTCGGGTTAAGAAATATGACAAGCATCGGCCACTGGCCACTACGTGTCCATGTGTTCTAGGACTTGTTGGGGGGTGGGGGTGGAAAAATGGTCGATGCAACCTCGTCCAGGTTTGAAACCTGCCCGGTTTTCTCTACTTCGTTGTTCTCGTGCTCCATCTAGGCTTCGGACAACTACGGATCCTAGGATCTCGGACATAGTATTAGCCAAACTAGTTCCCCTATGGTTGTCATACGAAGACTTCTCTTTCTTTTTATAAACTAGATTGATCGAAAAACCAAACCAGTTTGATTGCCCCGCATCTGGTTCCCATACACTACCTAGTATTTCCGTCACTTTAAGTAGCGATTTCCTACCTCCACTCTTGAAAACTTCGGACAGTAAACTGTCAAGTCCTACTGCTTCGCATCGTTTCATGTAAGATACACCTTTATCAACTTCAAGGGAAATTGAAGGACTGAAATCTACTTTCCATTCAGGCTGGATGTTGGGCAACTGAAGCATTGCTGAAAGCCAGTTGAACTGAATTCCAAAGTGTTTTGCCCAACGTTCTAGCCACTAGTCGTGAGAGGTTATTGGCATCCTATCCTTAATGGTGATGGTTTCACTAACTATCGTTTCCCTCTTGCCGGTGTCCTTAATAAGCTCAAATAGCTACAGGGTATTACCCACTGTTGATGTTTTCTCCATTTTTCCGCTCTCACTGCCCACTACTGCTCGTGATCAACGCGAGGGACTCTTGGTCAATTTATGTTTGAGTTGCTTTCGTTCCTCATTTCGGTCAGAACCAGCTGGAAAGAGTCTTCTTGCATCAGCCAGTTCGGATGAGGTCGTGGAAGCCCAATGACTTCTGTTAATCTTCGGGTAAAGGTAACCAGCTGTCTTTACCACTGTTTCTATAACACTTAATATCACCGCATGTTTCCCTAGTATGAGCATTGTTGTCACTTTCGGTTAAATGCTTAGCTATCTTCTCCTTAAACATGTACTTGGCCTGCTCATCTTCCAGTTGGGCATAGACAGGCTTCACTATCACCTGTTTCCTAAGACCATCACAGTGCAGACATACACGAGCCCAAACTAGCGCATGATCGGAGTCCAAACTGGTGTTCCAGAAAGAGCGGCAATTCTCCAACGGTGGCTTACAGGAATTTGCTCTGTGTTCATCGTTGGTTTAATATCGGCGGAAGCAATATGAGATAGAGTCTCTCCTTATACCTAAGGTTAGTGCTGGTCAAAAACAAATGATTGTTGGAACAAAATTGTACCCAATGATCACCGTTAGCGGTTCACTGGCATAGGATTCCGCAAGTACCTTCCAGACGCCTTTCCAATTAACACAGCTTCCCCTTCTGAGCGTTGAAATTACCTGCCATGAAGACTACATCTTAAAGGTTTGCTTTCTGTAGCAAGGTTGATAGCCTCCCATAATATTCCTCTTTTGCGTCATCCGAACGACAGTCGGTGGGTGCACAGACGGAGACTAAGAATAGGCATCGGTTGGTCTCACGATCCTTTCTAATCCTTACAGATCCATTCAGTCGAACAGGACATAGACAGCTGTTCACTGAAGTGCAGTTGAAGAATACCTGTTCTTCCCTACAGTTCAATGCTACGCCTACACCAGTAAGTCCACGAGAGCTAACCACTGGGTCTCCGGATAC